TGTAATTGTCAAAGGAAAAAAGTATTATATTAGAAACATACAAAAAAATGAACGCATGGAATATCGACACTAATTTTAGAATGTAACTGCAAACGTCCATCTTTGTTGATATGTAACATCGTATTCAACAACGGTGTTTTATGCTCATAAAAATATAGTGCATTTTTAAAAACAGTTTGCGGTAAACCATTGATAATAGTTTGATCATTTAGACCAAATTTAAGCTTTTGCTGTGGTCCCCAGTAAGCACCAGAAATTTGTAGAGGTAAAAACCAGTCCAGATGTGTCCACATCGTTAACGACAGTCTATTTTGTCGCATTTCTTCAGTAGTTTGAACATATCCCAACTAAAAATTCATCAATTTTACTGTTTTAACTACTATGCAAAAAAAAAATTTTTATTTAACACTTTCTTGAATACTAATATAAAATTCCACTTGTTTTTTTAGTCGAAACAAAACTCCTGGATTATATGTTTGCTCAAAATGCCAACGGCTTTTTCTTTGTTCATATTAACCAACCTGAAATGTTGCATTAGTCGGAGCATTATTGTAGTCAGACAATAAGTTGTTCACATAGTTCAAATTTACCACTGGATCTTTGTATTCAATCCAAATCTAAAATTTTAGCTATTCAATCTGCTGCACTGGAACAATAACAAAAAAGAAGTCTTCAAAACAAAAGCTTATCATTTGGTAAATAAAGAAAAAGCTTTAATTTTACTACACCAAACTGGTTGACAGTTTATCGATAAGTATCTAATGGCTAAAAAATCTGCTGTATTTGATAATGTAAAGAAAAAAAAGACACGAAAACTTTTCAAATGTGCGTCATATGATCAAATCAAAATCTTTTTTTCTCTTTTTTTTTGCTTTTTTAACTGACATTCAGTTTGACTACTTAAAGGATTTTTTTCACTAAGCCACTGAGAAAGATCACCAAGCTGGTATTATGGTTTAATTGACCAATAACCATTCCAGCAATTATAAAACCGATAAACTTCCAACTATTCCAAGAATAATGAGCTATTAAAGAGTAAGAATAAAAAAGTTTTAAAAAAACATTTAGAACATTTGTTGTTAAGTAAAAGTTGACAATAAAAGGGCAAAAAGTTGGTTATTAAGTGCCTTAAGAAAAGATTTATGAAAGAAATTTTATGAGCAATGACACGTTAACACTAAACGATATATTAAAATAGCACATAGCAAAAAAATATGAGCTTTATATTTTCACATTTGTTGATAACTGTCAATTTGTATTATTTCCTCAATAATAAAACAACTTGAAAAAAAAAAAAGCAATTTCAACACTTCTAAAAATATATGATCAAAAATTTCCTTGACAATTTAATACATTATATGTAAGATTTATTTAGGATAAATAAAGAGCAGAAAAGAAGTAACAAATGAAAAACTTTAACATACATTTGATTCGGCACCGGAACCTTCAGATGCATCAACAATTGCGGCAATAGAAATCAAAAATACGAATATAGCTGCCATATAATTGTTAAATCCCGAGTATCCGCTAAGATCTTATGTCTTATAAACTGAAATTTTTGTGTGATTTCTAGAAACAATCTCAGCCAAAGGACTGAACAATTGCCCTGTGTAATATAACACCGATTCATAACTGCAGGGCACAACAATAACAACAACAACGACAATAATAATAATAACAAACGTTTACACAGATTCGCTGACTTCGGTTATCAGCAGTCATTATTTTTAACCATCATTCATGTAACTTTTACACTATTATTCTGTCAATTGGTTACTTCTAAAATCAATTATCCGATTAACAATTTACAAAAGGCTAAAAAAAATGAATCATTCAATCCCACTACCGTAAGAAAGAAAAAAGTTCTTCAAACAAAGATCTTCTTTTTCAATAAAAAAGTCTTACTCTTACAACATGCCGATAATGTATCGCTGCAGCAGCAGTATCAGTAAGTTTGAGGAAAAAACCCCAATGTAGATTAGCGCTAACAGTCTAGAAACAGAATCAACATTAAGCAGCTTAAATTCCATAGACTTCAAAAAAAAAAAAGACTTCTCTTCATTTAATTTTTATGCCGAAAGAAACAAAAATTGCCGACATTCTGCTAATATTTCCTTCACACCTTAAATTCTCTTCAAAGAAAAAAAAAAAGACTAAAGCTAAGGTAAAAATATTAAAGCCATAAATTTGATGTTAAAATCTACTAAAGTAACGAAAAAAGTCTTATGATGGTATACTTTTTATTCTTTTAAACAAAAAAAA